AGAAGTCCGTGGTGGGAAACTGAAGGGGTGGGAGTGTCCAGAAATGCAAGGAGGACAGCCTTTTCCATCTCAAGACTCTGGAGGTTTAGTGTGAGGTTGCCCTTCAGTACCTTCTCAACCCTCCCGCCCCCACCCCGTTCCTCCTGTGTCCTGGGACTCATAAGAACATAAGACTCTTAGGAGTAGAGGCTAAGGGAACTGGAGGAGGAGGGAAAGTGATTTTGCACAGGGTGTAAGGGATCTTGAGGTGGGGAGTATCTTCTCCATGCATGCCACCATCACTGCCAAGATTTTCTCTTTTTGCCTCACTAACACTTCCCTTCAGGCTTTCCTGTCCTGCGCCTCTGCCATCCTCTGCCCAAATCTTCTCCAGGAGTGTGTTCCTCTACTCCATTTGTTTCCTAAACACATTACCCCTTGTCCACTTTTGCTTGCAGATCTGTGCCAGGTGGACAGTTGGTGGAGCCAGGGAATATGCAAGCGAGCTGGCTACTGTTCCCACTGTAACAAAAAGTTACATGGGCGCACATTACAAGAGTTTCATTGTGTTAAACCTATCCTTAATTAGTTAACATACAGGGAAGGTCTCTGAAAAGACAGTTGAGATGTGTTCTGTGCAAGGCTGAAGTTTTGCTTTAAAGCAGTGGTTTCCAACCTTTTTACACCCAAGATCACTTTTTAAATGACAGACCAAGGCAAGATCTACCGCCTCGCTCCTTCCTTGAAGCCCCGCCCTCTCTATTCTCCTCCTCTCCATCACTTGCTATCCCCAATCTGTAGGAAGAGGTTTTTCCAACATTTGACTTGTCTAGACCAGACCAAATGTCAGAAAACCTGCTTCTTTTGGAAGCCCCCTTATTCCTCGTGGAAAGAGGAAAATAGGGGTGACTATATGCATGGCAGATGGGGAAACTGAAACTCAGCAGTCTCTCTTCCTCTTTCTTTTAGTAGCTAGCGCTTACTGCAAGTGGCGGTCTTGCAACAGTAACTCCAGAGTTAAAAACATTCTCGAACTTGATTCCTTTCTTTATACTCAGAAGTACTATTTTTGGAGCGCTCAGCCACATTCTGGTATCTGAGCACAGCCAACGCTGACCACGAACTGCTGTTCAGAAAGCCTCCGGCAAGTAGCCCCTCCGGCCTACAACCTCACAGGAAGCAGGTTTTTTGTCCCACCACAACAAATGAAGAAACGAGCCTGCTTAAAGCTTGGTTTGCAGAAGCTGAGTTTCATGCAAGGCCGTCAGAAATACATGGCTGCCACTTGAGTGTTTTCTAGGCAAATCAAGCCTGACTCTTGGCCTGTGCGCAAGTTTTGATCTTAAGTGTGCAACCAAATTCTAATAAGAGTGTCTACAGGGGTAGTTCCCTGTATTGCATGCAGCAAGGTAATACTAGACCAGTAGTCTCCAACCTTTTTACACCCAAGATCACTTTTTAAGTCTCAGAACAGGAAGATCTACCGCCCCGCCCCTTCCTTGAAGCCCCACCCTCTCTATTCTCCTGTCCATCACTTGCTATCCCCTGCCCTTATACACTCTGTTAATCAGTTTATTTTTAAATTATTCAGTATATAAAATTAAAATCACGTTTATAGTTATGAAATAAATGGTCTGTTTTTAATTCATGCTATTTAAATGTCAAATGAAACATTTACAATTATACATTTTGTTCTGTGCTATTTTGTAAATCTAAAATCAAGTATTGAGAATTATATATTTTTTTCTTCCAATAAAGTCTCAGTGTGACACTGACTGAACAGTATCTGCCAATGTCTTGAAGTCTGGGCTGTAGCCTGAGATTGCTAGTCGTATACAGTCCATCAGATAGGCATCTGTGATCCTGCGCTCAGCCTGGGAAGCTTGCTCCAGCACAGGTGGAGCTAGACACAGCCTCCCTGGGCTGAGCACAGGGCAGCCGGGCTGGAGGGAAGAGAAGTGGCTGCCCGGCCAGCTGGCCATGGCACTCAGCCAGGGTGCACCAAGCTTCACGTGGGCAGGCGCAGAGGAGAAGCCGCCAATCAGCTGGAGCGCGGGGCAGCCTTTCAGCTGAAAGCCACAGTCAGCTGGCCGGGGTGTTTCAGCCCTCCCGACCTCCCAGCTCCCACCATTCCATGCAGCTACTCACCTGTTGTTGTTGCTTGGTAATTAGCTGCTCCTCGAATGAGGAAATCAGATTTAAATGTACTGCGCAGGTGCGCAGTTCAGAGAAGGCTCAAGCGACTCTTAGAGCCCCTGAGATTGACCAGTAGATCATGATCTACCGGTTGATGACCACGGCTTCAAAGCAACCACTGCATACTAGGTACAGGGAGTTTTCAAGGGAGCATTTGGACTTGTGCTATTTGGAAACAGGCAGGCATGGTAAGGCGCTTGTAGTCAGGAGA